CCTGTTACCTCACGTGCTTGTCACGAATTGTCACAAGGACCACGGTATGAATGAGGCCTATCTTACGTTGTGGCGTAGTTCGCGTTCATCATGATGGGTGGTTGACTGATCTGATTTGATAGCGGCAAATAGTGGAACAGAGCATCTGTGGTGGACAGGATTGGGATAGACGAATACACGAGAGGCGCGTACACAAGGCTCTGTCTGTTTCTATGTCAATTCCAACGATTTGATGTCGACAAGATGGGTATCTGCTGTTCGGCTTTTTTTCTCTCTTTCCCTTTAATGTCCGCGAAGATCGAGCCCTATGTAGATAGTAAATACAACGTGTGCGTATGTATGATGGGAACCGTCGCAGTTGGAGCAGAGCATCGAGGACACGGCCCGGGTTGGCGAGGTGTTTCAAGCGTCTTTGGGATACAGTAAGTGGCCGAGAAAGAGCAGAAGGTACAAATACAAGAAGAAGAAAAGTCACCAGAACCGGTGCGGCGGACTTGTAAGAGCAGGTCCCGGCCATTGAAGGCAAGAGGAAAGAAGTGGAGGACGGTGCAGGTCAGCGGCCGGTACAGTCAGGTAGCCTGGGGAGGTGTGGGTAGTCAGCAGGCGCAACAACGGGGAAATGGACAGTCAATCTCCTGAGTCGATCATGAATGCATGACTCCCTGACGACATCTCCAAACGTGTCGGCGCGTGTCATGGGCGGATGGCCCTGCCAGGGGTGCGTGCGGAGGGCGCTCGCCGCGGACCCGCCCCAGCTTGCGCTGAAGCTCTGCATGCTGTCTGCGGCAGGTAGTGGCGTACGGTCTCAGGAATTAGCCGACATGTCGGGCAGCGGGCGTTGTCTGCGCGATGGATGCGGTGCAGGTGGTGCTGTAGGGGTATGTGTCAGTACGTAAGTTAGCTGGAACAGGTGGCGGTGGGTCACCGACTCGATGGCCAGATGTCCGAGTCCTTTCGACCGCATCGTGGGGTTGATCCGACTCGAGAGTTTTGCGTTTCGCCGGCGGCGTGAGCATGGAAAGTCGCCTTCGCAACCTGCCGTTCGGCTTGATGGGTTACCTACCCCTGATTCAGCGTACAATACGACAGTATTCCAAGTGAGCTGAAGAGTCTCATAGAATCGCACATAGACTTTGAAGTCTTCTATCTTCCGCTGCCCCCTCGTCGATCTCGCCTCCCCCCTTTACTTTCATTCTCATCATGAGCGTCATGAACGTCGCCGATACTTTTGGTGCAGAGCTGATTGGAACGTTTATTGCAGCGATGTAAGCTTATTGTCACTTCTCACTTGGTGCGCTCCACGACCTAAACGGCACCACTGTCTCTTCAGTCTCTTCGGCATCACGATCCTTCAGACATTCATTTACGTTCAAAACCATCCTGGTGATGCGAAATGGAGCAAGATAATAGCATGTGTCCTATGGTGTGGCCTATCTCTTGCTCGATGACGCAGGAATCAATGTTCACCATGCCATATGCAGTTCTCTCGACGCCATTCAACTCGCATTTCAGTTTCACGTCATATACTGGAATTTGTTTCTTAATTCAAGCATGCAGAGCCCCACAGTAGTTGTATGGAGTTACAAGGTACAACATATTTGTCTCTTTGGAATGCCCTTACAATCAATTGGGTGCAGGCGCAATTAGTTATCGGGGTGCGTCGCCAGTAAGAAGCTTCTATTATATGTTCACTCATACCTTTAATCGTCAAGTAGTCGCTATGCATCATGTTCGTGCAGACGTGAGTGATGCAGATTCTCCTCTTGTGACAATGCGAGTCACGGCAACTCATGTCCGCAGGCTGTACGCGCATCGCATCTGGAAATGTACGTTGCAAGTTGTTGCACATCTACTCCGGGTTCTTACTTGGGATTATGCAAATGTCACAGTGGATGGCTTATTGCATAGTGATTCGCGATTCCGCCATGTACTGCCTCTATTCGTCGTAAATAATCGGTCTCCACATATCTCATCAATCGGGTCTGAGACTTTCATTTGCAGACAGGCTTCGTCCTTGCAGGTTATGGTGAGTTGTCTTTCTACCTCTGGTCTCATAGTATCTGAGACTAGTTCATTATACAGGAGGTGGCTCAGGTAAGAGCCCCAATGCATCCGTAGCATCATACTAACAAGAGTGCATCAATAATAGTCTTGTGGTATGACCTGTAAAGACAATTCGGCCCTTTATAATATTCTTGTCCTCACGCAATATATACAGGTTTCGGTTTAAAAATGAATCGATAGCTCAGATGGAGGACGTAAAGGTTAGTCATATCAGACGATAAGATACATTTTCATCCTGTTTTGTTGGGCAGCTGGTACTTTTTTAGCTTACGGCCCATCTTCTGCGTCACAGTTGATGGTTTATCTACCAGCGTCTCTTTATGGTGGTACGGACGTCATCATCGCCATCTCAATGTGCTTTCTCCTTGCTCGTTCGCGCACGGGATTCCAGACTCAGTGACGTTTACAATACTTACTCACATTTCGACGAGTCTCAATGCAGTTTTCCGCAGATCCGACTTAACTATTGGGTTGCTAATGGTGTTCATATTAAACACGGGTGTTCTCACGAGGTATGTATTCTTCGACCCAGTATATAAGTAGTTATTCAACGTACAACTGGCAGTGTGCTAGCTCTTCTGACCATGATTACCGTAAGTCAACGACCGAGCCTTGTGTAGATTCTCGTTTACGCTTTGCGCCAAAATTATAGGAAGCCGTGTGGCCCCGTGGACTTGTCTTTGCCGCAGTCCAGTATCAAATGACGGAATGTAGGCAGGCGTCCTCCCTTTTGTTGCCGTGAATGCTGATCACATATATCTGATTTTATAACATTAGTGCATATCAATTCATTTTTAGCCCTGTAAGGCTAGATTTGTTCTATCAAACACCTGGCTCACATAACAATAATCAGGCTTAACGCACGGCGATTCCTCCGCCGTCGTCGGAAGGCACATATTCAGTTCCATCAAGGAAATGGCCTATCGTCGGTCGGTGCCTCACTGCCATGTTTCATTTCATATAGTCCCAAATCGTTGCCGACCGACGGGTCAATCGTCGTGGCTACTGTGCACGATAGCGATCTAGGCTCACCTATTGAAGTGCATATCGCGCGGAGTCTATCCGCTCATCAAACTCACCCTGAGGATTCCATCGGCCTTGCACAATGACACTGTGAGTCATGCGACACATACTTAACAAGGTTTTTATGAACGTAATTTGCAGCTTGATCCATCAACCTAAGTGAACACTTGCGACACCCCTCGTGTATGTGTAGCTGGTTGTAGATCAACAATTCCGCCATCCTGCTAGCCGCAGGACTCGCGTCGAAGATGTGCGCAAGCTTATTCCATACGTGCACGCTAGGACCATATTCGTTCACTATCTCCGAGTGCAGTCCTCTGTACGTGGCTCCGTTCGAAATTAATTACGTGCATCCATGCGTGGGCACTCGGGCTCACAGTATTTCGACCCTGATCTCACGTCGCACCAATGGGACAGACTTCGCCAGTGTGCCAGCCGTGTCCACCAAGTGATATTACACGGGGGGTTGAAGGGCGGCCATCGTGGCTCTGCTATGGTGCGCGTTGCCAACCTATTGGGTGGACCTCTCTTCCCAAACCTCGTGTATTTGAGCTGAAAATCATGCGACTTTGAATTGAACGGCAGTATAGCGGAAATGATTGTACCAGTGGCCGTTCAACACTGTCATCTGGCGATTCACTACGTGTGTAATTGGAGCCCCACATCTTTCACATCTGTCGCATCTCCCATCTGACGCGGAGTGCTGAATATCATCCTGCCAAAGTTAGCGGCACAGTCGTTTCATGCTCAACACGTTGATTTTGTGGATTAGTATTCATTAATGACGACCAGCTCGGCATGCCACTCGAGCAGGTTCTCTCTCCGCTCCGTCCCCTGCATATTCTGCGTATCATCGAGATCAGCTCAATATGGACCATCTCTCTCCTTTGCCAAGCTGCATGACATAGTACGTGCCTGGCCAGAGCTCGCGAAATTCCACCTGGGAAACAGGCACTTCCTACACGGAGCCCTCTCGAGCTGCGTCCGTATGCCCGCGGCTGCGCTCTATCAGTGACATCTCATCTGAGCCGAATCTGAGTCTCCTGAGTTTCCACACGGAAGCTTGAGGATTCCAACACGACACCATCGTGGACCCCTGGGCGATCCAGGACTTCGCACAAGCTAGGCAGCAATCGTATACATACCGTTTTCGAAAGTGGTAGCACGTTCAGGGTTCGAGAACAAGATGGTGGTATCCTGTGCGTGGATTGAGACTGACTAGGAGATGCCTGAGCGAATCAACGAGTGCCGCTGCTTATTTCCTGTCAAATTGAACGCGCCGAACATTTGAGCGATAAAAGACGGGCCAGTGTGCTTCGCGACAATGCGCGCATTAGTCGTCCAGGCTTCAGCTCTAGTATGAACACAACAGCCAAGCCGGGGGCAATACGGTATATGATGCACGCAGCACAAGCCGTGCGCGGCACGTTTGAGCCGGATTCCCGCACTCGACGAACCGATTATGCTTAAATTTTGAGGCTATCCAGGTGTCAAGAACACGGGCGCAGAAACACATATGTGTCTAGTGACGTACCTTTCGCTGAGCCGTGCAAGATACTCTGCTCGCGCTCGACAGGTTTATATTGTAGGCCAGCTTGCGTTGTTTACAGACTGAACTTAGACACGTTGACGGGAACGCGCGCATACAACCAACGCTGGAGGCCTCTAGATATCCGCGAGCGGATTATGCTTTCAAGGCAGTGCGTTCGAAAAGGATCTCACGCCAGAGTATCCAAGACATGGTGCGAGAATGCCTCGCTAATTCGTGCGGCGTGTGGAAAATGGAGAGCTCACCCGAAATCTGGGAACGGAGGTGCCAGAAAACCGTTGTGTTCAAGGGGGCGACAAAGCTCATCTGAGTCGACTCTTTGAGGTTGCAAATGGCTGATAAATGCGAACTACGCCAGAAGACACTGAGATTTCAATGGAAGACTTTGATGTCAATTGCTAATAGGACGTTTATCCGCTTCCTGAGAAGAGCTGGACGCCTACCAGAATGGCTGTCATTGACTCGACGCTGGCATTCTCACTACGGTAGGAGAGAGGGCGACAGAGATGGCGTGGGGCTACGCTCGCCACGTACGGCGGGTTGTCGGCCACATCTAGGTTTCGGAGCACACTCGAGGAGTCTTTTCAGGTTATTGCAGAATGAGGCTCACAGGGCGGGGAAGAGACACTCACACAGCAGCCCGACGACGTGGTCTATCGTCCCCATCGCATTGTCCTGCTCTCCTCCAGCCATAGCAACTTTGCGCATATATAGTATGACGTGCTGGCGGAGTATGTTTAGCTCATGGAGGACAGGCTCACACTCGGGGGGCTGTCACTACTCCCAGTCAGTGTGGGCCGAGCACGAGCGGGAGTCGAACGTACATACATCCACTCCTTCCACGCAAAAACGGACGGCTCCCAAGTGGCAGTCTTCAGACCGCCAACCAGTGCCACCTCGCTACATACTCTCCTGGCTTTGCCCGCTATTTTCCTCGCCCTTGACGTCAGCTCCCTGAGCACCGTTTGCAGGCCCTGGGTCAGTCTATTGAGATACTACGAAAGAATTTCGAGTCAGCTACTGCTCTAGCTGCGAGTGAAAATGGATTTCACAGTCAACTTACGAGTCAGAGCAGGTGAGTTTCAAGTTCACTGTTGGCCGTTTAAGCTGTATATTAACGGCGCACTGGCAGCTACTTTCAGTCTCTACAGTCGCATTCGCCATGGGACAACGCCTAGGGCTGCCGAAGTGGCGTACCAATTCTCATATCTCCTATGAGAGTGATGGACGAGTCAGAAAGAGCCATCGATGCTGAGGCAGCGTCGGGCGGCTGGGGCTTCTTGGCGCCCGAAGAGCCTCCCATCTTTCTCCTCCCATCACCATGTGCGGCTGGCTTTTCCTCGATATTATCCTCGACCTTAGTCGCTTAGAGTTCAAATGACCGATACGCAATGGGGATGCATACTTGCGACTCAGACGACATGCAGCGCGAAATTCACCATACGACTTATCTGCTTGTCAACGACGTCGTCTGGTACTGGCTCTGCCATGTCGACGGGTATAGTTAGTGAGATAATGTATCTGGGGGATGGTGAGTAGTGTTTAACGTACCAATAGAATGTACCCGAACGCTTCAAATGTAGCAATTCCAAGCCGAGTACTATCAGACCTTGGGCTAGCGACAGATGTCCAGATTTTAGCTGCAGTAGACAGCACTGGCGTGAGAAGGTGCAGATGAGGGGGCGTCGGTGGAATGGCCCGCTCGGCCAAAAATGAGGTTTTTTTGCTGCTAATGCGGAGAAGTCTGTATCGCCCATGGTAATCTCTAACTGCCTCAGATAGACTTGGTCTTCGAGAAGGAGTGGCGTTATGGGTGAGTGCTATGAATCGTGTATCTTCTCCGGATTTGCATTCCGAATATCAGTTTTACTTATGCAGACAAAGTATGTCTTCCAACGAGCATCCGTAGAACTACTGTGCAAGCCGATAGGTCACGTCTAGATATCATCCCTCTGCATTTCAACAACTGCCATGTACCCCCGGCATTGCCATACTTTCGTAATCACCAGACCCGCGGTCCTCGCCAGCGCGCTGAACTCGTCCGGCGTGCGCTCCATCGCGTTCAACAGGCACATCATCGTCATATCTAGCGTATGTGAGAACATGTGCGCAGATCCGTAGTTTGCGGGCAGCGGCCACGGCGCTGACTGCAACCCGGATGATCCAACCGTCGGGTGGATGATTTGGTCTGCAACAAGGATCCGCGAGGCAGGAGTCATGGCGTCCCGGAGCATCTTGAGGATCGTGATGCATTCATTATCGGCCCAATCGTGCCTGTAGACATTGACCACAATTATTGAATAGGACTCGTTGGGGCCGAAGGATTGGATGTACTAACAAAATGTATCGCATCAGGTATATCTCCGCGCCTGCAATCGGTTGCGGTGTAAAGAAATCATGGCACATGAACTGGACGCGATCTTCTTCCATGGCTTTGGGGAAATCTTCTGACCATTTAATCCGAGCTTGGGTGAGCACATGCTCCATGTCTTGTACGATGAATTTCGCAGTCGGGAGTATCTTCGCAAGCTCCAAGGACATCGAACCTCCAAATTATCTGCGTGAGCTGTTGCCCATGAAAATGGTAAAACCGGGGCTGCACCTATGCCACCCCCGACATCTACAATTGTTGACCCATCTAGCGTGCCCCACGGATAATCTGTGGAATGCAGGTCAGTCAGAATTTGTGCTCTCTGAAGATTGGCCGTCAAGCTCACCGCTTAACAGTGATGGCGCATGTAGCTGTCCAAGCCCGGCGAACGCAAGCTGGTATATCTGTAACTCGGGCCGGTGCACTAGGCTGCCATCGTGAGCCTCCACCTTCTCCCCCAGATACTCGAACAATGTCTGGTTGCTCCCGAGGGCTTCCTGTAACGGGCTTTCGCGCGGTGCAAGCGAATGCGTCTTAACGGGATCCAAGAGAACCGCGGGAAGTTTCCATGATGCAGGGTAGTTTACCTTGCCGCTGAGCGCGGTATTGTCAGTGCACTTTCCTCCTCTCTGGCATCCGCAGCAGAACGGAGCAATCTGTACAGCGGAAACTTACGAGCTGATCAACCAGTTCTGAAACTCCTTGTTCCCGACGATCACCCGGGTTGTGAAGTTGTTGGCGAAATGGAGAGGCTTAACCTCCGCGAAGACGTGAGTCGAGCACAGGCAGCGAAGCAGATGCACTTTGGACCCACACGCGCACAAGACCGGCGAGCGTAAGCTTCCGTGCAGCACGTTCGCTAACGAACCAGGCAAGGGAAGTATACTTACGAAGCTTTGCCGCATTGATCCCCGTCCGCTGCCCGATCTCCTGCACGGACATCCCCTCCTGCGCATCTGCCTGCGCGAGCATGTCAAACAGCCCCACGTCCGCAGCTACATGCAGCGCACGGGCAGGCATGTATGCGGTGGTCACCTCTGAGAGGCGTTCGAGCGGATCCTGGACGAGCGCGACGCACATTCCGCACGCACCGACGAGCGTGCGCCGCGCGTCGAACAGATCGCGTGGTGGGACTGTATGCGTCGCGGGTCCTGGGAGCACGTCGGTGTCGGCGGAGGCCTCCCAGTGCTGGATAACGGTCTCGGCGGCAGAGGAGAGGAGGCGCACGAGCGCACGGAGTTGTTCGACCTTGCTGTGATTGTTTGGTATAGACATTTTGGTGGGATGGGAGGATTTGGAGGTAATAAGTACTGGGTGTTGTCGAGTGGCCCCCCGAACTTATCGTTCTTTTGTAGCTTTGATACGGCCGGTACATTGTCCGCGCCGGAGTGATCTCGCCCCCAGATGTGTCGAAAACATCGCCGGAGCACGAAAATATTGTACTGTCTGATGCATTGTGTAAGTCATACTTGGGCCTGTGACGCTGCTCAGATTGGCTTGCTGTGTTTCATGAGTCCTCCACTGTACCTATCGATCGGCGATATTGGGGAGAGCCTAGCGACTGTGCGGTGTGCATCGGAACTACTGGTTGTTAGTCGGCGGCTCAGCGTTGGATCTCAGGGCCACCCGTTTTCATGTAACTGGGCCAGAGCTCGGCATGGTTGAAGGATGAGATCTATGAGAAGCGCGAGCCCGAGAGGCCGCGCTCAACATTGACGCGGAAATACGTCGGTGTTTCAGAGTCCTGCTTACCGTCACCGTAGTGTATGATTTGAATGGAGGATAGAGCTCCACCGAGTGCTAAAGTAGCTATGGTTTTCATAATCTCAGACTCAGTTGTCTTAGACCTACGAGGCAGCACGCACGATTCCCAAGCAAGTTCTTTCCGTTGCATCTGTGTGTCATTGACATCTACTCCCGTATCGATCTACCCCCTTGAACCACCGAGCTGCACGATGTAGCGCTCGCCTAATCAAAGCTCGGGAAATTCGACCTGGACGACATAAAGACGGACATGCATTGAACATGGGACCCTCCATACTCTGCTCGAGCTAGCTCGTGCACCTCCCGGGCCATGGTTACATGTTGTCATTATACCTCTGATGGAGCCTTTGCTCGCTTCTGGCATCGATGGCACACATGGAATGTTACTGCATGGCTTATGTATAGTTAACTTTCCTCGACAACCTGTTTCCAAAGCTGGACTTGGATCATCTGTGCAAGTCCGACCTCTTGCCGGGATCTGCAAAGTTCCTGCATAAAAACTGACCAGTGTTGCTAGAAGAATTGAGATAAATTCGTCGTTGAAGGGACAGCCCGTAGGGTGAGTCTCAAATGTACAAATGGAGGCTGGTCATTTCATGTGCCTCTTCCAGCAAGACCATGGCTTGTTCAAAAAGAGTGGGAAATTTGACGTAAAGAACTTCAAGGAGCTTAAACAAGCCAACGAGTGAAGCTGCATGTCACATACCACCTCCCGTGAAAATTGATGTGCCCAAGATGAGTGAGTTTTGAGACGAAAGCGGGTACAGTAGCCGATAATGCTCGTTTAGATCCGTTTGACTGTAACTCAAAGGAGTAGAAAGACAACTGGAAATGACGCAGTGATTCAGGGGCCACACATAGCGGCAAAATCTCGAATACACTCTGACATCTGGGTCCTGAGTGCTCTAAGAACACACACAAGATTGAAGGCTCAGAGAATCGCCTAGCAGCCTGACGATGTGCCTTACTATCCGGCTGTGAACGTCTGGCTGCTCCTCCCTATACAGTCACCTTGCGCACACGCATGATGTATGTACAGGGTCCATCCAGTTCATCAAGGATGAAGTGCTCGTTCGTTGGACTGGCTCTCAAGACGAGTTTGAGCGCACACTGAATGCTGACTGGACGGGAGATACGCACATATCGTCTAGCCACCGCTGGCAGCGATTTCAGGCTGATGGCCCTGTGGTTGGCTTACCCTGCAGGAGGGCGAGTGTAGTCCATGATGTGACGCTCTATTAGTGTATCGTTCAAGAAAATGCGATGTCAACTCGGACTGGGAGCTGAAAATCTGCGGTGTGGCAGGGTGCACCAAGCGTGAGTGAGTGAAGTACGAAGGGATGACAATATGATCAAGCCAGATAACGACTCGGATATCGGGTGTTCTGGACTGTCTTCTCATTTATCTCCCGACCCTTTGAGCATCCGTAACCTCTTTGATATCATGAGTCCAAGATGCTTGACGCCTTGCTCAATCTTCCCCGACAGATCCGGCAAGAAATATGCAGCAATCCTGAATCAGGACTGAACCGTTGGCAATAAATTTGTGCGCATAGGTAGCTAAAAATACGTATTTTCTGGGAGAATTTGGAGTAATTCTGAGCACCTTTGCGCAGGCCATCAGATCTTGTGCAAATAATTTATTCAGTGTACAGTAGTCTGGGCCCCTGCCTATCCAGAGGAAGAAATGCAGTAGCAAAACCAGTGGAAGGATGAATATGATGCATACAGACAGACAGCCTAACGAACATCCAGGCGTCCCTTGCCTTCAATGGCCAGGGCCCGAATCCGCAGGCTCGCCGCGCCAGCGACGGTAGCGTAACATAGTGCTCTCTCCTGCATTTCTTGTTCACACCATAATTGATTTTTTTTTGTTATTTAGTGTATTTTAGTTATGCCTGATGTGTGTCCATCACCTCTGGCCGCGTCAAATATCTTTGTCTCGATATTGAGTGGAAAGTAATAACGCATGTACCGTACTTTCCTGTCTACATAGGGCCAGGCCCTCGAGGACAATGAAAGGAGCCAAAAAAAAACATCCGGTTACTGACCTTGCATACGATCTCATAACTTAACCATTCTTGCCACGGGAAATGAGACCATTCAGCTGCGAGATTATAAAAACATGCAGAATTCGTGAAGGCAATCAGGCACACCGATGCAACAAGACAGAATTCCATCATTCAATGCCGCAATAATTTTTTCTCGGACGCATTGGAGGCCGGGACCAAGATTGCCTTTGAATCGAGAGCGAATAATCTGTATGTGAAACGGATCGTGGATCATGTCTAGATTGAGTGACAATATGACCCGAAAATCTACCAAGGACCCAGCTCGTCGGTCAGCATTCCGGAGAAGTTAGCCAGCATTAAACCATAAAATCGGCCTCCCATAGGGCCGTATGGCCTCCGAACTGGATAACACATCTCTTGGAGCCCTGCGCAGGTTGTCGATTAACTTTAGTCCAGTCAAAATCACGAGCCGGTGGCCCAATTCTGCGAACTTGAATAGCCCGCCTTTGCGCTACACACCAGACACCCAGCATAGCCAATATAGTATCAGTCTGGATTGAAGTACAATAATTCATGGAAACTCACTTTTGTATGTCCTTCCACTGGCCTTCACGAGAAGAAACGCATCGTATCCTGCGATGGAGTCCATCTCTGATTTAAAGGGTGTGCTTTATGGGGTGCATGAGACCGGCTATGAATGTTGAAAAATGGCTGGTGTTCATAGCTAGCGAGCTATTAATATGCGTACCTAAGCCTTGAGGTAAGTCTGGCTGGGTCCAAGCGGTGGCGTGACTGACGGACAAGCCAGAACTAGTGGCGGGGTCACAACACCTGTTTCGCGTCAAGAGGTTAACGAAGCAGCGAGCGCACAACAAAATCCCCTACTCTCAGTTGACATATAGGCAGATAATTTGATCAGGAAAACCGCACCGCATTATAGAACGTACATCGAATAGATAAACGGTGGGTTCATTGTCCTACACCGCCATCTCTCGAGCCACAACTGACTTGCTGACCCACAAGCCACACGGGCATCAACCCTGTATTCCGCCACACTCATCAACCTGCCACACTCTCAGTCTCTTAAATTCGCCAATCCTCCTCAGCCACCAGCCATGTCGTCCATATCATCCTCACTTATACACTTCAATTCCCATTTCACCCGCTGCTACACATCCACCTCCAAATCTACCAACCACTCCCGTTCCTCTAGCATGGGCGACCGGTCAACACCTTGTAAGAAAAAGGGCATCACTCAGCACACAGACAAGAAGGCGACACGACAGAAAGATGAAAAGAACAGAGAAGCTTGGAGTCATGAGATCCAGGACAAGATTCACGTCGTCAGTGCTTCCCCAAAACAATTCCTTCGTCGCTTCGTCCCATGCGAGACGCCTGTACCCAAGTGTCCCGGTCCAGCAGACAGCATTTTCAACGTGCCGTCCGGCGAGCCCGAGGTCAAGATGTATGAGCCACAGGTGAGTAAAGTGCGCCTTATCCCAACAACGACCAAATGTTCAACTCCCTTGCAGATTGATGGGCTGCACAAGCTCGTTGCCGACTTCCCCGACAGCAAGCGGCCCAGCTTCTACAATAACTCAAACACACCCATCCAGTTTCCTTTCGGAAAGTTTGACCAGGAACACCACGCCACTAAGCCTGACCTCATCGGCGGCTTCAAGCGCGACTCGCTCAAGAAGCCTCGATGGCGTCACCTCGCCATCGTCCTTGAAGCAAAGCCCACCGCAGGGGAGGATCCCGTAGGCCAGCCGAGCGAGCAAAGAACAAAGACTCTCATCCAGCTCGCCAAGAGTGCGCGTAATCTTCTTGTCGCTCACAACCGCCTGTTCGCGTTTGCCGTCGGCCTGTATGGAAATATAGCGCGCATCTACCGCTTCGACCACGCTGCCGCGGTCGTCTCGGAAGCGTT